TAGACAAGCAGCTTTGATTCAGCCAAAGATTGGGGAAAATGTCCATTCTCCCAAAAAAATGGCAGAAATATTTCCTATCTGGGAAAACCAGGAAACCAGCCACAACATTCTGGAGATGGATATATCAAATAAATATCACTCACAGAGATATTATGGTGATGGACTCCAGTGCAAGTGGTAAAATTCAGACAGCAACCAAAAAAAGGAAACGGTTGCTCCAGGAATAAAGGAGCTGGAAACTTTCTGGAGTAGAAAACCTCCCAGGGAGGCAGAAATTCCCAAGCATTACCACAAAAGCTCCCATTATTATTGTTGGTTTATTGTTTTGCTTTCAGAAATATTGGCTTTTTGGGGGGATTTTTTTTCATTCCACCTGGTACAAGGCGCTGTTTTGCTTGGATATCTTTTCCCAACTCTCCTAAACCTGGCACCAATCCCAACACAACACCCAACAAATAATCCAGGAATGCCTTCCCTGCGCAGCTCTGGCACGAGGAATGGCAGTGGGTGGTCACAAAAAGCAGGAATTCCAGCCCAAATTCCCTGTGGATGTTGTACAAACCCTGCTGCCCCGTGCCAGCCCCCTCTGGCACAGCCTGGATGGAATTCTTCCCGAGGGAGCTGGGCAGGAAATGTTCACACGCGCCCCAGCTCTGCTTTCAGGTGCTCGCACACACCCAGAAGCCTGAATTCAATTTACAGCCATTTAATCCCATTGAACTCCAGCAGCCCACCCCCGGGGAAGGAGCTAAGTGCTTGCAGATTCCAGGCTTTAAGGCAAAAGCTGGAATTTTGTATCCTGGTGGGATTATTCCCGACAGGGATCATTCACACCAGGCACAATTTGTAGTTTGATGAAAAGCAGCAAATGTGAGAGCAGACCTGCCCAGACAGCAAATTCTGTCCCGTTGTTTTCAGCCACTAGATGGAGGATTTTTATTGGGAATAGCTCCAAAAATCCCGCAAGGGATTTTTTTCCAGGGGAGGTTTAGGTTTTGGGTATCAGGAAAGGCTCTTCCCCCAGAGGGCTTGGGCACCGCTCCCAGGGGTGCACAGGGTGGGATTTTGGGAATGTCCTGGACTGGATGATCCCTGTGGGTCCCTTCCAACTCAGGGCATCCCATTATTCCAGGAAATTCAAAAAACAAACTTTCAGGATTAGTTTCATCCGCTTTCCACTATCCCAGGGTGCTCCAAGTCCTGTCCAGCCTGGCCTTAGGCATTTCCAGGGATGGAGCAGCCACAGCTTCTCTGGGAATCTGTGCCAGGGCTCTCCACTCTCAAGGGAGGAATTCATTCCCAATATCCCACCTAACCCTGCCCTCTTTCAGCTTGGGGCCATTCCCTCCTGGCCTGGCAGCTTACCTTTAGCAACGAAAGAGAACAATAATAATAATAATTTATATTTTTTTCTCCTTTCTTTCCTATTTTTTTCCTAATACATGCTAGTCCTCAATACACTGGAAAAAGTTTCTGATCCAGCAATTCCAGAGGAGACAAGGACAACCCCCAGTGTTGGCACAGGCTGCTGCTACTACTACAAAAAAAGCAGGAAAGCCAACATCAAATACAACCTGCTCGCTCCAAAGTCTTCTAATGGATTTTCCTGCTGTAGGCACCAAGGCAAAGAAACCATTCCAGCTGCCAAACCAGACCTTTGTAACAGAGAGATAGCAGGATTTTCAAATTCTTGCCAAAAAATATTAATGAAAATAAACTGAAGAGCATCGTTTCGGTAGGGAAACATGGACTGATCAATTCTTCAAAATCTGAATTATTTTCATAGGATTACTGAGGATGGAAAAGAGCTCTGGGATCACCAGCCTGTGACCGATCCCCACCTTGTCCCCAGCCCGGAGCTCTGAGTGCCACATCCAGGAATTCCTGGGACACCTCCAGGGATGGGCACTCCAACCCTCCCTGGGCACTTCCAATTCCCGATCCCCCTTTCCATGGGGAAATTCCTGATGCTGTCCACCCTGAGCCTCCCCTGGCCCAGCCTGAGGCCGTTCCCTCTCCTCCTGTCCCTGTTCCCTGGGAACACAGCCCAGCCCACCCACCCTGCCTCCAAATTTTGAATTTTCATTTACAGCACCTGCTCCTGGCTTATCAGCTCCCCTCCCTGCAGTTAAAACAAAAATCCCAACTAAATTCAGCTTTAAATTCCCCAAACCTTAAATTCAGAGGGTGTTCGAGAGGATCCATTTATACCCGAGGAGCAGGGATGGAAAGGGGAACTCCCCAGCTGCCATCAATTCCCTCCACTCCTCCCCATGATAAAACCCAGATTTTCAGAGGCTGGAACTGAATATATTTTTCCCTTTAAGTGCTCAAAGTCAGGGGTTACAAACAGGAAGCAACATAAAATGATTCTGTTCAACAGACAACACCACAAATTATTTTATTTCAAGTCCCACATACCAAGGGTGTGATGAAGGTTAAACCTTTTGTATATTTTTCCATCTAACTGGTTGCAAAATTCACTATTTTCCAGCACCTTTAAAAACCTAAACCTGCAAGGAAATAAGTGGTTTATGTGGCTGTGAAGACGTTTTATTCCTTTTATTTTACTTGTGGGAAAAAAATAAAATAAAAAATAAATAAAAAATTATGATGATTAGCCCTTCAAAGAGTATGGATAAAAAAGAAAATAAGATTATTTCAATTGTTAATAACTAAAGATCACATTTCAAACTAAAGGAAACCAACCTGTGACCAAAATTTTATTGGCAGAGTTCTGCATACAAAGACATTTTGTGGCTCTAATTCCAACCACTGGCTTTGCTCTGTCTCCTCCTACAAGTGGCTCAACCCCAGCAATTCCAAATCCAAGGTTCCTTCAAGGAAAGAGATGAAAACTGGCAAAACAAAGGAAAACCCTGGAATTCTGACAAAACAAATCCATGTGTTGTTCCTGCACCTACAAATCTTTACAAGTTATGGGGAAAGCTCATGAGAAAAGCCAGAGGGAAACTCAAGTCCTTACAAACAGGAGCCTGGAATTCCCTGGGACATCACAACCCCTTCCCAAGCCAAGGTAAATCCAGAATCAGAAGCTCCGAGCTGCTACTAGAAGCTCATTTTTCCTCACCTGATCACCCAAAATTCCAGAAAAGGGACGTTAAAGCCAGCACAGGCAGGAAAGGAGCCTTTTCCAAACTTATTTATTGGAGCAGGTGCCTCTGGAAGCTGCCCAGCTGTGAACATTGCTAATTAGCACCACGCCCTTAATGGTTTTATTCAATTCTTCTGGATGTTATTAATCAATTAATCCTTTAAGAGAACCTTAATAATTAACACCTGTTCAAGAGCCACACAACTTTCACATGGCTGAGTGATTCAGACAAAAACACCCAGCTGTAGAAAAGATGATGAAACTGAAAAAAAACAAAGTTATAAAATGTTTTTGTCCTCTGGAGAAGATGGAATGTTTCCCAAATCCAACTTCCATCTTTTTATTCTTTCAATAAATTAATTAATCATTCTCCCTAACATCTATGAATGAAAATGGAACTGCTTCCATTTAATGACGGGAAAAACTGCTCAGGGATTCAGAATCAAAGTCTTGATATTCTGGTGCATTTCTATAAACAACTATTTAATATATATATAATTGCATATATAAATACTTCAAAACTGAGAAAACCCTCCATTTCAAGAGTCACTGCTATGAAATTCAAACACTTTTTTGTTTGGTATTTTAAAATCTTGGTTGAAATACTTTAAGTTATACAAATGTCATGTTTGCCTCTTGAAATCTTGGTATCGACAGGGCACCACACCTCAGGTAACCTCACAGAGAAGGCAAGAAAAGTACCAAAAAACACTCCAAAATACCATTTTGAAGCTGCTTCCACCAAAGCAATCTCTCAGTTGTTAATAACCCTTGTTTACTTCAAAAAGTCTTCCCTGGAGAGCTCCAAAAATAAACTGATCCATAAACTATCTGTGCCATAGCAGGATAAAATGACTATATTTGGTGAAGCACGCAACTTGCCGCTGTGGATGGATTTAAAAATAAAACAAAAAAAAAAAAGAGGGGGAAGAAAAAAAAAAAGGAAGCAACACTTGAATTGCAAGTAAGGGCAAAGGGATACCAAGTGTGTTGAGAGAATCCTGGAACCATTTTGGTGGGAAGGGACTTTAAATCTCATCTTGTTCCACCTCCTGCCCTGGGCAGGGACACCTTCCACTATCCCAGGCAGCTCCAAGCCCTGTCCAGCCTGGCCTGGGACATTTCCAGGGATGGGGCAGCTCCAGGGAAACCTGTGCCAGAGCCTCAGCACCCGCACAGGGAAGAATTCCTTCTCAATATCCCATCTAAACCGCTCTATGTCAAACAGCTGGCTGGTATGAAGAGGACAGCAAACACCAGTCCCGACAGGGATGTGCAAAGCCCTGTGGGGCACTCCATGACCGCACTGGGGGATGTTCCCCGGCCGTGCCCTGCTGCAGCAGGGCAGGGGATGGAGGAGCGCTCCCAGCCCAGCAGCTGCAGCGCCCGGCTCCCAACACATCCCGGGGGCGCAGCCGGACACCAAGCCCAGCTCTGGCGAGCCCAGCTCGGGGGTAACCCCTGAAATGGAGCGGGGAAGAGCCAAACCTTTGGCTGGAAGGGACCTTAAAGCTCATCCCTGCCACGGGCAGGGACACCTTCCGCTGTCCCAGGTTGCTCCAAGCCCCGTCCAGCCTGGCCTTGGGCACTTCCAGGGATCCAGGGGCAGCCACAGCTTCTCTGGGCACCTGTGCCCGGGCCTCAGCTCCCTCACAGGGAGGAATTTCTCCCCGATATCGAATCACGGGCGACCCCCATGAGAGCGATGGGGGGAGGCGGAGAGGGGCGCGCGGCCCCCCCGCCTCGGCCGCTCCCTCCCCGCCGGCTCGCGGCCCGGGGAGCCCAGCGGGAGCGCGGTGTGTGCTCGGTGTCCCCGTGCGGGGCCGTGCGGGCGGCCGGGGGTGGCCGCGTAGCGGAGGCTCCCGCCCGCGGGGCGCCGCGTTACCGTGTGAGGCGGGCGCCGAGTTCTCGTGGTGTTTTGTGCGGCGGCTGCGATAATGGCGTCCTTCCTCGCGAGAGATCCGGCCCGGGGCCCCGCGCCGCGCACGCGCCGCGCCCGCGCGCGCGATGCCCCCGCCCTTCCCCGCCGAGGCGCCGCAGCGGGGACCGGACTACGAGTCCCAGAGGGCAACGCGCGCGCCCCCGCAGGAGCACGCCGGGACCTGTAGTACGCGCGGGTGGCGCGGGGCGTGCCGGGAAGTGTAGTCAGGGAATGGCGGAATCACAGGATCTCGGGATCGTTAAGGATGGAAAAGAGCTCCAGGATCACAGAGTCCCATCTGTGACCGATCCCCACCTTGTCCCCAGCCCGGAGCTCTGAGTGCCACATCCAGGAATTCCTGGGACACCTCCAGGGATGGGCACTCCAAACCTCCCTGGGCACTTCCAATTCCTGATCCCCCTTTCCATGGGGAAATTCCTGCTGCTGTCCACCCTGAGCCTCCCCTGGCCCAGCCTGAGGCCGTTCCCTCTCCTCCTGTCCCTGTTCCCCCTGGCTGTCCCCTCCTGGCAGGGAGCTGTGCAGAGCCAGAAATTCCCCCTGAGCCTCCTTTTCTCCGGGTTGAGTCGCTTTCCCGCTCCCTCAGGAATTCTCCAGCCCCTTCCCAGCTCCATTCCCTTCCCTGGATGTGCTCCAGCCCCTCTATGTCCACAGCACTCAGCCAGCAGAGCTGTCAGCCGGCAGATCTAACGTGGATCTGAACCTCCAGAGTCACTCACACCTTTCCCATCCCCTACTCCTTTCTCTCCTCCTTCCATCAGCTTCCCCCCGCTCCGACAGCTCCTGGGTGCTGAGCTGGGATGAGCTGGATGTCACTGTCTGCTAAGGAGAGAAATGTCACCGTGCCCAGAGCATAGCTAAGCACAGGCAGCAAGTGGGAATTTGCTAAATTAGCTCATCAGCCTCGCTCTTCTGTCACTTGTGCTCCAGCGTGTGCTGTGAGAACAGGAGGGCTGGGCGAAGGTGGGGAACGCACCGTGAACCTTCTGGAGATGTTAAAAATACACAAAAAGCCCCCAGAGAGGAAGCACGGAGGAAGTGTACGCAAACGGCTCTGAAAGAGGACAAAGATTAGATTATTTTATGTCTTTATATAGAACAGTGTTGCCCAATAAAGACCAACCACACTTCACTTTTCAGCTTCACCGTAGCCAGCAGCGACTTCCAGGCTTCTGCATTAAACTATTCCTTAAATAAGATAAAAATTTCTAAATAAGGTGCTTAACAGGGTTCTCCAGTGCCGTGTCACGCAGCTGAATCCAGCTGTAAGTGTTTCTCCGGATACCTGCAGGCCTGGTGTGTTAGGAAATTGCTCCCCCATGCAGGTTTGGAAGTGCTCAGCTGAGCCTGTTGATTTATTTACCATGTTCTCCCCCGTCACAAGCAGATTAGGCAGTTCAAAGGTTAAACTACTTAGAATCTGACTTTTCACACCCGATTATTTCACGCTTTGCTGCAGGGATTTGCCCTGTAACAGTTTTGCTAAAGAGTTTCTGCAGGACTCAAGCAATCGCTGGCTCCAGCTGGAAAAACAGAGATACAAAATATCCGTGTTCCAATGTGCAGAGCTGCTGCTAAAAGCTTTTGCCATCCTAAACCAGCCCAAAGTAAAAGCTGCCCTGTTTTCTCATATTTTCATAGTACTGCCATCCCATAGATTATTGACTCTTTTTGCTGGAGGTGTGAGTTTCTCCTCTGGAGAGCCATGGATCGTTTCCCAACACAAACACAAAAACTGTCATTGTCATAAACCACTTATAGTATTTACCCAAAGCTAATTTTCCTCCAATTAACTGCAGGAAATACTGGCGGGATCCAGTTGATATTTATGACTCTGATCAGAGATAACAGCAGAATAAACAAATAAAGCAATTTATCCCCGAGGGAGGCTGCAGCACCTCCTCCTGCCAGTCTGCTCTGATCCAGCAGATGAGAATCCACAATCACCTCACCTCTTGGAAGAGTTTTCCCACTTTACCAGAGCAACAAGTTTGGATTTTTTCCCAAATCGGGAGGCATTTCTTTTTAAAATTATGGATGACACATGTTTTAACATGGAAAGGCTCCTTTATCATGGTTTATCTCGTGTTTATTTGAGACTGCACAGCCAGAAATGACAAACACTTCATGCAGCACAAAGTCTGACTGAAAACGCTGGGAAACAGCAGGAGAAAAAGGATCTTTCTGTTAAATCTGAGGGCCCAGCTTTGGCTTTTAGTCTTTGATTCCCAGTACCAATGAGTGACTGACCAAAGGGTAATTGATTCCTGCTCTTCAGGTGCTGCCAAAACTGAGCTCCTGTGACTATTTCTGCAATAATTGAATGAAATTCAGTGTAATCCCCATTCAGTGAATGAAAGCTTCGCTTTATCCTGGGATAAGTCTGCCTATGAGCAAAGGCCAAGAAGAACTTGATACATGGGAAGGTTTATTCTGATTTAAAACACGATAATTTACTCAAGTGCCCGCATCAAATCCATTCTTAATTTCCTGTCCTCATATAAAAGCAACTGAGAACTTCAGGCTGCTAATATGTAATTTAATTTTTTTTAATTTTACAGGAGAAAATTGCCCTGTTAGTCTGTTATCCCAAATAAAACAAGGCATTTCTTTGTTGTTTTATTTCCTCACATTTACATGCTCTTTTTTTTTTTTTTTTGCCATTCTCTTGCAATTTATATCTGTGCCTTGCCTTGTGATGAGGAATAATTTGCTTCCAGGAAGTATCCTGCTTATTTCACCCTGGTCGCAGCATTCATTTACTATTGTTTTCTAAGGAAGTTGCTGCTTTCACATGTTTTGTGGATCAGGAGAGATTGGGATCTCATTCATTGGTTTCATTTTTTTATTTTTTCATTAGGGGAAAAAAAAAAACTTCCTGTAGTATCAAAGGTAAAAAATTAACACAGTGTGCACACAATCTTGCAGCTGTAGCAGGAAAATAAAGGTTGTTAAACAAAGCTTTTGTTTAAATATGTGACAGACATCCATAATTATCCTCAGTGCTGAGCATGAGGACGCAGGGGAAAAGGGATGGAGAAGATGTGAGCAGGGCACAGAAGTCACTCCAGAGTATTTGCTGGAAGAATAATTTTGTTTCCTAAGGATAAAATCCTCAATTACATCCAAGTGAAAAGAGTACTTGAAGCTCCCCTGCTTATTAACTTCTTTCTGTTTGGGTTTATTCATTTTCTCTAGAATATCTCTTGTAACTGGAGAGGGAAACAAGCCCAGCCTTAAGAACACAGCCTGTCCTATATTATGGCAGTGATGCTTAAGGAAAAGTTACATAAAACACCTCTTTAACCAAGAGAATATTGATATTAATTCTAAATGTGCTGTAGCAGCATATAAGGAGAAGCTCATTGTTTTAATTTTTGGAGGCAATCCCCTCAGAATTGTTCTGTGATCCTAACAGAAAACAGGGCAGCATCAAGTGGGTTTTGCTCCTGGATGTACTTCAGCTACCTCTATCAATACTCTGATCTCATTCTGGTTTCTGCTGAGTAAATTCCATTTTATTAAATGAAAATACTCCTAATTTTCATGAACAGGGAAGGCCCTGAATCCCCTCAGCAGAGAGAAAAACATTGTGACACGTTTTGCCATCTGTCTGGTCCAAGTCCATGGTCACGTAGGGTCACTTCTGCCAGTCTGAGGAACAAGGTGAGAAGGGTCAGGTGGGATCTCAGTGTTCTCTTACTTATTTACAGACTTTTCCATCTCCCTGGACACATCATGGAAAAAAAAATAAAATGATGGGAGGCTCCTTCCCTTCTGAGAAATGTGCCCCTGATTTATTTACCACGAGCCCTGTGTTTATACTTTGCCTGGCTGGGATCTTCCAGGGTCACTCACATCTTCTTCTCCGCCCCTTTTGCTTCCCCTACACAGCTGAGATTTGCCCAGCTCTGGTCAGCTTTGCCCAAGACTGTGTTTATTTGGAGAGTTACCATTATCATCTGAATAATTTTGGGGGATTATTAATCAATCTCCTGAAGGAGATTCAGCCCACCTACAGATTTTAGAGGATTTTATCTTTCTATGGTTCTAAGCAGAATTTGACCATCTCCTCATTCTGGACACGCATCCATTTTGACATGTCCAAAATTATTTGTAACTCAAAGGTTTCGGGTGTGAGAGGTGAAACAAAGTGAGATGTCCAGCTGTGGCCAGGGTGACAGAATGCCCTGAGCAGGTTTTCACACAGCTCCACGTGGCAGAGGCAGGAGGGGAGGACTGCCCTTTGTGGCACTCCGGGCAATCCAGGTCATCTGGAACCTCATCCAGGGCAACAGAGGCAAATTCCAACCCCTTGGGATGGTGAAATCCTTCTTTTCCCTACAACCTGGGCACTGCAAAGCCCTGGAGACAGCTTTTCTCCTATTCCAGGTGTTCCCAAGTAGATCCTGGAGTGCACCTGACAGGGGTGAAGGTCCATGGGCTGTATCAGACAGAGCTTTCCAGCACACTTCAGGAATTCCCCCTGCTTGGCAATCATGGGGACAAATCTGGAATGTGCTATCCTGTTTGGGGACCCTGATGTAAGAGAGAGAATGAAAAAGCAGGGGTGAATGAAAAAGCAGAGGTGAATGAAAAAGCAGAGGTGAATGAAGTGTCCCAGCAAAATGTGGACACCAAAAAAAAAAAGCTTCCATGAAGTAAAATCTGCCATGGGAAGTGTGAGCCAATCCTCAGGGACATGAGGGACAAAGCCACCCAGGGGTGACCTGGCTCCTGGGGGGAACCTGCACTAAGTGACATTTTTAGTCACTCCAGAGAAGTTTCCACTTCTCAGCAGCAAAATTCCCAGGCAGCTTCCCACAACTTGACTGATTGTCCTGCCAATTAGACAATAATTAGGTGAGGAAAATGTTCATTATTCAATACTTCTATGATATCTAATTACAGTAAAGCTGTAACATTGTATTTTTTGCTGAATTACTTAAAACCAACTTGACTTAAAACCAAGGCAACACTAGGGCAGGAACAGCCTTCCAAGCAGGATGCCTGGGGATCAGGTTCCTTGGACACACCACAGTGAGGAGGTGATTTT